ACAAATAATGTAGTTTACAAATGTGCCCGTTAAGGGGAGGACTGAGACAGCAGGACTCTTGGTTTTACAGCAGAGAAAACATTGAGTGTGTTTATGTGAGCTCAACTATTCCAGTTATAATCAGGGTTTTTTGAGTGTTCTGCTTTTGTGTGTGTCCATGTAAACGCAGTATTCTGGTTTCAGTATCCTGCTGTTGTGGAAATCACGTCTATCTCCAAGAATAAATAATCATCCATTTGCAAAACCTGGTGAATTATGAAATACAAAAAGGTTGATTCTTTGTTACAGCAGACAGGACAGGACCTAGAGTCTCTTCCTCTCTCTCCCCAGTCTCCTCTTCCTCCAGAGCGTCTGAGCTCTGAGCTTTATACCAGAATGACAAAGTTACATGCACATCAAAGCAGAGTGACATTTGTTTCACACACAAGTTAATCCACTTTTACTCTTGAAGACAGGTAAAACAACACAGAGTTTCCTGGAGCTTGGAGACAGTGTGTGCAGAGTTTTACACATGTTAATGTCAGATCTGCGTCTCAGGTAGAAGTCACATGGATTTACACAAAGACACACTGTGACACAAATCTTTTCTTCACAACTTCAGTGTTGATACATTTCCATCACACTGGATAAGTATCCCGTGATGAGACACCAGGATACTCTCACTGGGTTATACTGCAGTATTCAGGATACTGTGGCCTGTAGACGCAGGATCCTGATTTCTCAACACTGGTGCTGTACTGAGCGTGTGCGAGCTGATGGAACAGACGCGGTCGGAGCAGATGAGTTCTGCAAATATTTTTAAACCCTTCTGATGCCACATTTTAAAGGTTCTGTCAGTCTGATGTGGAGGAAAATCTGGATCCCTACATATTTCTCTCAATATAAGCAGTTCATTCTCCAATTTACACATTTGACAAACTTTCTTCCTTATGTTGAATACATTCATAGTCTATATACAAGAGGAATTTAAATCTTTGTTTAGTGTCATTTCCAACAGGCATGACTTTTACAGTCCATGAGTTTCCATTTTACTGGATCATAACTGTTCTGTCTTTGCTTTATTCAAGAATATAGACGACTTTAAAGCACAAGACTAAAACTGTTTCTTTAACGGAAAAATTATGTTTTATACAGCAAATAATTGTAAAAAGGTTTAGTTCTTCTGAGATGCAAAAATCTAAATAAATATCAGTTATCAGCCACAAAATCAACACACACACGCGCACACACACTTTTTTAAACAGTGAAAGACAAATGAGTGGACTCACTGTGCCTCAGTGCTGCCCCCTGGAGCTGCTTTTCTCCTGGGACGTCCTTTTATCTGCTCACTCCCTGAAGCCATTTCCCCGCTCGCTCAGCCTGGAGGAGAAACCACAGACACACATGTTTCACTCTTTACATTTGAACTCTGCTCCATTTCAAACAAGACTTTAGTCATTTGAACAACACTTCTACTGAAGTGACAGTCGCACTGGTCACGACTTCAGGGGAAACTTTAGGCCCAGTTCTAGTGATTATTAGTAGAACTCATTTCCTGCTTCAGTCGAACTCTGATAAAGTCTAAAACACCACACATATAAGTTACTCTCTCTTTGAAGAGCACAGCTGTTTTCTACACAAGTGGATGTCAGTGAATCTCAAAGTCACTTCCTCTTAAATAATCAATAATAGACATAATAAACTTAAAACCCAAAAGTGCGACTCACCTCGTCATCACGAAGTCTCAACTCCAAACACTTTCAGTTTCGTCTCAGTCACGTGACCAGCCCCTCCCCTCTGTGGATTGTTTACATGTCCAACCTCTTGCGCATTTTCCCGCACACGACGTGGATTTACTCTCTCTGCTCTGACCTCTTTGGATTCTTACACAAAAACAACATCGTGAGAAACGCGAAGAGTTCAAGTAAAATAAGAAAACAAGTATGATTTTCATCACTGACGTGTTTTTAATTCAGTATTTATGCAAACTCCCAGTGAGGCTGTCGTAGCAGTATCACTGTTGTATGGTTGTAAACTGGCCACTAGATGGAGCCACAGTCCGTGAATTAGACAGTACAGTAAACATACTCAATCACGTGAAGTTTGAGTCTGAAAAAGTACTTCTGTGGATAGTTTTGAGTCACTATAACTATGTACTCACCTGTTGTGACTCTTAACTGTGGATCATTTATTACTTTGCCACAAATGTTGAAACTTGATTATTTTTATCATAAAAAAAGTGTAGCATCCAGTTGAAGTGAGAAGGCCAGAACTGATTCTTAAATGACTTTTAATCTTTTCCTTGCAGTGTCATAGAACCAACGTAAGAGCTAAACAAGAACAAAATGACAGAAATTACCATAAGATCACCGTATCGCTGCTCATTACACAGTTTAACCGTTATCCATATTTTAATTCATTAATTAATTCAATACAAATTATAAGAAGCTCAAATATACATTCTGTTGTGTTGTGCCCTCATTTTATTATTTGTATTATGATAGAGACTTATGATTTGACCAATGGCGTGTAAGAACATTTGATCACGTGAGGCACAAAATTATGAATGGCCTGCACCTGTGAATAAAAGTGTGCGCCCGTGGGGAATGCGGTAACCACACAAAAAGAGAATACGAAGTGTACTGTGTTTTAACGCTCACGACAACGCTGTGTAAAGGGACCCTGCTAACATCATTTCACAAATTAATTAATTAATTTCACAAATGAAACAAACCTTGTTCCCCTGTCGACTGTTGCCGTCTTTAGGTTTTTATCTGACTTTTCACCGTTGTGTTTGTTGCTTTGTTTACTTTGCGTCTTTTCTGTATACAAAGCTAACGTTTTTAACTTCACTTCCGCTCACACAGGAAGTCACCAAAATAAAAGCGCAACCTTACTATGAAATGCCACGGACTGTACGTGAATGTACATAAGAGCTAACCTGACCTTTACAGAAAGTTTTTAGCCACCAGACTTTAACTCCCCACATAGCAAAAAATATCCGCGGCGGATACGCGGCGGATCCGCCCGGAGATTCGCAGAACGGATCCGCATCGGAGTTCACTTGCACATCGCCGCGGATCAGCAACGGATCCGCCGCGCGGATACGCAGCGGATCAGCCGCGCCTCCGTCGCGGATCCGTCAAAATAAGCCCTGATCCGCGCGGATCCGCCCAGGACCCGTTTTGGATCCGCTTTCAGAACCGGGTTATCTGCCGCGGATCTGTTTATTGTGTCGTTAGGAGCCTAAATATGCTTCAGATTTAATACTGATCCACTTCCTACTGACCTAAATACACACCAGCAGCATTTGCATTGTAATTGTACATAAAACTTTTACAGCAAGTATTAAAACTAGGATATAAAGGCTTAAATTTAAAAACATAAACTTAAACAATTTCAAAGTTGGATCAGTGATATCCTATCACTAAATCTCATTAGTTAAGAAAAAAAGAAACTTTTTTTTTTTTTTACATTGTAAACAATATTTATTTCAATCATTAATTTGAAATCTTAGGACATGAATAATCATTATTAATGTTATAGGACTTATATACCCTTTGAGTTAACCAATGCTTCATGAAAATGACAATTACAGTTTTTACTAAAAATAGTTCAAGTTAAGCAAAGTTTTTGTTTTTTTTAAATGGCAAAAAACAAATATAAGCTATATGAGTAAAAACCTGGACAGATGAGACAGAGTGTAGCCATACCATACTGTTTAAAACTAAAACTTAACTTGTGTTTACCACCACAGAACAATTAGACGGATGGTTGTTCTTATAGAGTGTGCAGTGTGTGAGCTTCAGAGCCTCTGTCTTTAGCTTCAGTCTGAGGCAGAGGTTTTGAGGCAGAGGTGTAGTGAGGTCTGGCTCCTCTTCAGTCCTACTGGTGAAGATCCAGTCTGTCAGTGTCCAGCTCTGGACTTCCCCTTTCTCACAGCATCTGAAATGACACCAGTGTGTATTAAACACCCCATTACACCTCTTATTCTTGTAAGGAGTTAGAGTTCAGGTTTGTGAAGAACATTGTAAGTCATGACAGTGGCTGTGTGATTTGAACATGAAAGGTAAACACTTGATTGGAGAAATCTATGCACTTACAGAGGGTCAGTCTGTAAACTCCACCACAGCAGGTTCTGAAAGAAAACAATATGCACAACAACAGGTGTGATTATAATGTGCATATGTTTAGTTATGAAAGTTAATAAAAGTAGGATAATACAGTAAACTTACAGAGGGTCTGTCTCTACATTTTTGGAACTTGGCCCAGCAGAGGGAATTCTGTAAAACATCAAATAAGAGAAACACAAATATCAGTTTGGATCATTTCAGGCCCCAGTGTTTAATACAAGTGCAGTATTTACCTCCAGAGGGTCTTTATCAGGCCCTTATGTCCATCTTCTTATTAACCATAGTATATTCTGAAACAGAGATGAAAAACATTATTTAACTCATAGGAAATACTTGAGCGCAGTAAAACTGAACTCTTTTGTTTTAGTATAAGCCTGAGTATGAACATGAGACGTATTTCACTGCTGTTAATACACAATACTCTACTACATTTACTTTTACCACAACATTTAAAATATAATAATCAATTTATGATGGTGTTCATAGTCAATATCAGTGTAATTTAGATGTGACACATCAGTGTTCATGTCAACATCTCTCACTGAAAGTCTGAAGCCCCGTCTCAAGTCCCAGAACAGAAAGTTAGAGACAAAGTCAGATCTGGCTCCAAACTAAATCTTCACTGTCACAGAAATCATTAAAAGTACTGACCTCTGATCAGCGTGTCGGGCTCCTGATGGAGACACTCAGCAGAAGGACAGGGGCTCCTGATGGGGACACTCAGCAGAAGGACAGGGGCTCCTGATGGGGACACTCAGCAGAAGGACAGGGTCCTGATGTCATCTGGGGAAAAACAACGTTTTGGTTGGTTAGCTAACGTTAGCTGTTGTTAAAAGTTGTGCTTTTTATTACGTTACGTTATTGTATTATGGCACGTTGCGTTAAATTATTGTATTAAGGCACTGACATGATGCACTTTAGTCTCAACTCAACAGTCAACACTCTAGTCTACAGAAATAATAATTATCTCTGTTTGGTTAAAAACACAACCAGATCAGACACCGGTGTCACCGTCGCTCCACAGCCGAAGGGAGAGCGCCGAGAGCGGCGTCCAGCCAGAACCGAGCCCGTTAGACACGACCAATGATCACGGAGCAGAATTACAATTCTGTGATCGTAAAAATATACAAGAATATAAGTAGCGTTATATAAAAATAGTATTTAGACTGGGATCTAGCTCAAGAGATGGAGTTATCCTGACTCCTGACCTCACATCGTCTTCATCACGTCAGCTGCTTCTGTCGCTAACTTTCCTACTGCACTTGTCAAAACTGATAAAACACAGTCACACATGTAAACACACCACAATATAACGTTAACGTTATGTACATTAATGATGACTAATACAATTAACTTTTAAACTATTACTTACAGTGAAATCCACGGACAACAGGTGGATGTTGTTTCTTTCTCTCAGGTTCTGATAACGGCTGAGTCAGTGGCGCGTCCGCGCAGCGAATCCGAACCGGTTTAGCCGCGGATCCGCGCATTGATAGTACAAATCATTGTGTCAAAAACAAAGTGTTGTGTTAAAAGTACGTTCACAGTGCGGATCTAAGATGATTTAACCGCAGATTCTCTCTGTAACAGCAGGCCATCCAAGGGTTAGGGTTAGCAACAGTCAGAATGCGAATACGGAACAAATACGCAGCGGATCCGCAAAGCGGACGGACTGTGGGGCGGATTTGGCGGAGCGAAAGCGGATCCGCTGCGGATCCTGATGCTAGTAGGGTCGTCCTGTGTATAAAGTCATACTGTGGAACATTCTGGGTTTTTATTTTATTTATTTTTTATAATTTTATTTGCAAAGTACTTATATTACAAAAAATAGGAACTAAATAACATACAAGATACAAGACAAACATTACAATGGAAGATTACATACAAATACGAACAAAGGTGACAGGCTGGTGACAGTGTGGACATTATGTGTGCGGTCATCGAGCAATGCAACAAGCAAATGGTTTTGTACTGAAAATGAACAGAATTTTTGTACCATTACACCCCTAGTGTGAAATGTGTGTTTTGTGCTGTAGTCTGTGACTGCAAACAGAATTGTACGGAAGCCGAGTGTTGTGGTGAAAAGACTGGAAAGTGTTTGCCTTTTGGACACATGCGCACTCAACTTTATGTCGCAGTAACGGGATACTGCGTTTACATGCCACAGTATCCCGGTTACTATCAGAATAAACCAGCTTCAGTATCCTGGTTCCTAATAACCGGGATATTGAAACCGGGTTACTGCATTTACATGCACCATGAAGAAACCGGGATACTGAAAAAACCCGATCATAACCGGGATACTGATGTGCATGTATACGCACTCACAGGTACACACACTGAACAAAAGCTTGGCCAAAATATAAAATATAAACACTTAAATCTATCAGAAAATCCAATCCAATCCACTTTATTTCTATAGCACATTTCACAAACAAACAGTTTCCAAAGTGCTGCACAAATACATAAAAATAACAATAAATAAGATGATAAAATAAACTACTAAAATAATACTAGTTTTAATAAAAAATAAAAATAAAAAACAAAATCATAGAATAGAAATAAATAAACCAATAAATAAAATAAATCAATAAAAACACATAAAAATAAATAAAAAACACTTTAAATGACTTTAAAGTAGTGAAATGATCTGTCCATGCAGCAAGATCATTTTACTTGACAAGTTATCTGAACGTAAACGACCTCAGAACGAGTAAGAAGAGGATAAATCTGGAAACAAGGTGAAAAACCAAATAAAGGTTTTTAAAATCTTGGTCAGATCAGAGAAATTTGCAGTGGAGGAGGACGGGAGGGCATCTGGCGCACGGGGAGGGAGGGCATCAGGAGCGGTTCACAGCTGCATGTTGGTGTCGCTGCCCTCGGGGTCGGAGAGGTCACTGCCGGTCGCTGCCGCGGTCAGTCCGGCCTCCAGAGCCGTGAGCCGCTGCTTCAGACGCATCTGAGACGAGGCAAACTCACTCTGAAGACGCGCCAAACAGGTCTGAAAATACACAAGAGAAACCAGGACTAGACCAGGACTAGACCAGGACTAGACCAGGACTGAACCAGGACTAAACCAGGACTAAACAAGACTAGACCAGGACTAGACCAGGACTAAAACACAGACTAAACCAGGACTAGACCAGGACTGAACCAGGACTAGACCAGGACTAGACCAGGACTAAACCAGGACTAGACCAGGACTAGACCAGGACTAACCAGGACTAGACCAGGACTAAACCAGGACTAAACCAGGACTGACTAAACCAGGACTGAACCAGGACTAAACCAGGACTAGACCAGGACTAGACCAGGACTAAACCAGGACTAAAACACGACTAAACCAGGACTGAACTAGGACTGAACCAGGACTAAACAAGAACTAGACCAGGACTAGACCAGGACTGAACCAGCATTAGACCAGGACTAGACCAGGACTAGAGCAGGACTAGAGCAGGACTAGACCAGGACTACACCAGGACTAAACCAGGACTGAACCAGGACTAAACCAGGACTAAACCAGGACTGAACAGGACTAAAACACGACTAAACCAGGACTGAACTAGGACTAAACCAGGACTGAACAGGACTAGACTGAACCAGGACTAAACAAGAACTAGACCTGGACTAGACCAGGACTGAACCAGGATTAGACCAGGACTAGACCAGGACTAGACCAGGACTAGAGCAGGACTAGAGCAGGACTAAAACATGACTAAACCAGGACTGAACCAGGACTAAACCAGGACTAGACAGGACTGAACCATGACTAACCAGGACTAAACCAGGACTAAACCAGGACTAAAACACGACTAAACCAGGACTGAACTAGGACTAAACCAGGATTGAACCAGGACTAGACTGAACCAGGACTAAACAACAACTAGACCTGGACTAGACCAGGACTGAACCAGGACTGAACCAGGACTAGACCAGGACTAGACAAGGACTGAACCATGACTAAACCAGGACTGAACCAGGACTTAAACCAGGACTAGACCAGGACTGAACCAGGACTAAACCAGGACTGAACCAGGACTAGACCATGACTAGACCAGGTCTAAACTAGGTCTATATCAGGTCTAAACCGGGTCTAAACCGGGTCTAAACCGGGTCTAATGCTCTCACCTGTATCCGGTCCAGTCCCGCCTCCATCCTCTCCACCTTCTCCTCTAGCTCCTCCCCCGCGGAGACGCTCACTTCCTCCAGAAGCCCCTCCTTCTTCAGGATGTCCCGCCCCCTCTGCTCCAGCTGCGCTCTGGCCTCGGGGAAGTCCTGCAGCGCCCCCATCAGGTCGTTTTTGGACAGGCAGAACAGGTCGGAGTAGCCCAGGCTGCGGATGTTGGCGGCGGTGCGGCGGTTTCCCGTCTTGCTCCCGCTGATGTTCAAGATGCTGATCTCGCCGAAGCAGCTGCCCGCGGTCAGAACGGCGAACTGAGACACGCCGTCGTCCCCAACAACAGCCAGGCGGCCGTCTTTGATTATGTACATCTCCTTCCCCACGTCTCCCTGGTAACGGCGACACAGATTTACAGATATTTTAATTTATTCCCATGTTTTAGTAATCTTGTGTTTTTAATCCGTCCAGGCAAGACAAGTTTATTTGTAAAGCACAAAGTAATTCAAAGTGCTTTACAGAATAACAAAAACATTAAAATCACAATAGAAACAAATCAAATCATAAATAATCATCATAAAATTTTAAAAAGAGAGCGACATTAAATGAGAGAGAAGAGTGTGGAGTGAAAACCTTTCAGTCAGACGCAGCTGAACAGAAGTGTTTGGAGTCTGGATTTAAACGGAGTCAAAGTCGAGGCCGGTCTCACATGTTCAGGAAGACTGTTCCTGACTCTGGGCACCAGCAGGAGGTCAGGTCTAAACTAGAACTAAACCAGGACTACAGCAGGAGGCCGGTCCTTGAGCTCCTCAGAGTGCGAGATGGTTCATGTGGCTCTAACATGTCACAGGTGGACTTTGGTGTTGGGTCATGGAGAGACTTGAACAAGCAGAGCCGCTTTAAAGTCTCCGAGCCACAGGGGGCAGTGCAGAGACCTGAGACTAGGGATGGGCAATTCGATGAAATTTCATTAATCGATCGTCGGGAGAATTAACGATCGATTATAGATTAATCATTAATGTTTTTATATTAAAATGATCATCATTATTATTACTATCTGCACTACTAATCTGCATAAATAAATTCAACTTTACGGCATATAAACCGTAACGACTCTAGAGCCACATCAGCCCGTTTGACATTATAATGTGTTTAATTCAGTTTTGTTCAACTCTCACAGAAACAAAAGTTAAAACCGCATCGCTCATTTGCATAAAATAAGTGAAGAAAAAAACAGCTCTTGTGTCGCTGATGCTGTTCAATTTCTGTCGGATTAAAAGACATGACTCAGGTGAATACAGGTTAGTGTGACCAGATTTGCGTTTGTTAAAACCAGGACACCGTACGGGGGGAGGGAGGTGGGGATTCGTCATCGACATTGAGCGACTCTCACCTGGTAAAACTTTTTCATGTTTTTCAGTGTTTTGGTGCTTTGAGGTCCCTGACACGCCACTGGACACAGAAACATATGTGCTGCTTTGAACACTGTGCACATGGACTCACATTTGTCTCGACTAGGACGGAAAGTGTGGAATTTCTTGTACAAGTCATTGTTAAATGCACATTTGTGCTTCGGCGTGTTGCAGACTGACCGACTGTCTGTGTCTGCTCGCTCCTTCTGACTCACAGAGATCTACAAGAGACGCTCAGTTTAATGGCCCAATGAAAGATAATGAAAACCTGATCATTTGCATCACTTTATAAAAAAAAATAACAGGACGGCGAGGACAAGATGTGGAAAACGGACATGTCCGGAGAAAAATGGACATTTGGTCACGCTACGCTACGCACAGCAACCTACATTCAGTTTGTTGATTAAAAATGAACGTAATCAACGAAATTCTTAATGATCAATTATTGAGTGCGTATACATGCACATCAATAACCCGGTTATGATCGGGTTTTTTGAGTATCCCGGTTTCTTGATGGTGCATGTAAAATAACGCAGTAACCCGGTACCCCGGTTACTGCAACATAAAGTTGAGTGCGCATGCGTCCAAAAGACACTTTCCAGCCTTTCACCACAACAGTAGTGACATAAATAAATTGACCAACATAAATAAAGTGACCAAACGAGTGAAATGACTGTAAAATAAAGAGCTGCGCTAAACCTGCACATGTACAATCTGCACTCGTACGACCTGCACTCGTGTGACGCTGAAAAGCTAAAACATGAACTATCTCCTATACTCTATACGCACGAAACACACTTACCATCATTAGCGCCTCTTCTGTCACAGAAATAACACACATAATCCACAGAGTCGTGTCATTTAGTCCAAAAGAAACTGATCGCATCAGCGGCGCAAGCAGCGAGTTGTTTTTATCGCCGCTAACAGTTTATGCTAATTAGCCAAACGGTCTTAAGTTTCGTTTCTGTAAAACGTAAACAAATGTGATCACAGCTGAATTATCTGATCAAACGGGCTGATGTGTCTATAGTGTTTATGGTTTATATGTTGTAAAGTTGAGTTTATTTATGCAGAAGATTTTAATGAAGAATCTGCACAGTGGATTGTGGGAGATCTCGTAGCTCCTTAGCTTCTTATGCTAAAGGAGCTCACGGTTTGTATTTTTCCTGGTTTATTAAATCGATTTAAGTTAATTTTTGCGCCTGCGCATTTGTAAGATTATGTCAAGAAACCGGGATACTCCATT